ACGCCCTAGCAACGCGTGTCAGTGTAGAACACGCCTGGTAAACACTTGTCACTGTTTGTTTGAAATTGAAATAATCAGACGTCTAATCTGAGTCGCAGTCCGAATAAATAACTCGTGGACTTTTAGTTGGGACCACGACAGAACTTGAACAAACATGCCGTGCAACTGCGGTACTCCACGGACGGGATGACTTACGTCGACAGCGGTCGTCGCTGAGCTGCACGCTACAACATCGTGTGTGATATTGCTTGCTGGTCGTGGATTGACTGAGTCTTGGTTGCCGGTTAAAATGTTGCTCATTTGGCGTTGGTAATCTTTAGTTGGAACTGAGTAACGACGCAACGTCGCCAGCAGAAACATCCTGGTATCTCGATTGATCATGATGGTTGCGGCTGCATAGTAATCGCTGATTTTACTGCTGGTGGATCTTCTGAGAGCCCTTCAAGGTTTATAAAACTCAGTTTCCAGGTGGTCAACACACATTAAGTTCTCCCAATCGTAGTATTCCATGTGATGTACACCTAACATGCCAAAAACATTGCTGAACAATTTGAACTGGACAAAAATAGCAGACGAAAATGTGTTTACAAAATAAAAATAGTTCGGTAGCCAATGGAAATACCATGTTCATTTGCATATCGACCGTTAAAATACCGAAAACATTATTGCATGGGTGATATGTAAATTTGTTTTTGTCAAAATTAGTGACTGCCAAAGAGTACCATCACTGTTGTTCATGTACTCTTAAACATTGTTTATTTCTGCTATGTTTCGAAAAAACGGTACTCCTGAACGGACTACGTTGTTTGCTCTCAGATCATTTGCATATGAGGTGTGGAAATACCAATTTTAATTTCAGGGACGAGTCAAAATAAACTGCAATACATATGTAATAATAATAATAATAATAATAATTTTAATAAAAGTTTTCCTAAACCATATTCACTGCGTCACACACCCCTGTACAAAACATGAATACAAATCACATTAAGACAAAAATTAACAGTGTTATCAAAAAGAAAAAAAAAGTTTTCGAAATACTTTAAAAATAACATTACCATTAAAATTGGATTTAAATGAAGAACTGTCTTCTAAACAAATGAGTTTTCGGACTTCTCTTATAAACAATGATATTGATTGACTGACGAATGGAGAGTGGAAGTTCATTCTACAAAAGTGGGATAATTGCTAAAATAACGCCAACCATATGTTTGTGTAGTACATTTTGAATCTTGTCTTTTCAATAACAAAAGATCAGTGTTAGATGACCTGAGGCCACTATGACCCAGTTCATAACGGTCAACCAAGACACATAAATGAATTAGTGCAGAATTATTTAAAATTTTATAGACAGTTAACAATACTAAACAAATTATTCTTTCACGAATGCAATGCAAATCATAAAGTTTAGATGTAATGTGGTCAGATTTTTGTTTACAATTTACGGGTCTGGCTGCTGCATTTTGAATAGACTGGACTTTGTCTAGCTGAAATTGAGGAGCCACATAATTTC